AAACAAACCTTGCCTTATTCTGTTGATGCTTTTGCTGCTGTTGGTATCCCCGGCTCAACTTTCCCAACATAATTCGTTATTTATGACTTCAATTATGTTTGCCCGTGGCCACACACACACAAACCCAAAGGTTAAATGGGCGCAGCGAGGCAAAACTTAACCCCGGCTCAAGGTATCACACTTTAACCCCTGTTGGCCCCTGGGCATCCCACACATTTGTCGTCACCTCAGTTTTCTGGCGAATGAGTGACCCCCTCTGGAGAAAATGCGAACGGCACGAAGATAACATTTTAATTACCGTTCCAACGAATGGTTCCACCTCCTTGAATATTCCTTTGATAAATTATCCAAGTAAAATAACTTGAAGGTTTCCCCAAAGGGACTTTAGAATTTTTGGACTAAGCTTGTTAGTGCATTTTTTGTAAATTAGATTAATAAAAAAAACCTTTTTCTACATATTTATATTATAAATAAAGGATCCAATATTTAACATTTATTTATTTATATATCCTATTTCCGTTCTCGGAAAATTTTACATGCTCTGTTGAAGATGTGTGTGAGACCTCTATTTGGTTGGATTATGTCAACACAGCTTATGAATTATAAATGTAAGTGGCATATAATTCCTACCGCAGGCCCAGCCAGTCTGTCAATGCATATTAATAATAAAGTAGGCCTGCATTAAATATATATTATTTTTTATTACAATATTTGCAGAGTTAATATGAAAATATTATTAATAAACTTTAATTACCAGAAGGTGCCATTTTTTTGTGCGTCTGTCATTTAAAATTTATATGGTAAGCGACAGATAAAAAAGTATTTAATAAATGAGTTTCGCCGGGCTGAAAAAAGTGTATGTAGGTATGTGAAAAATTAAAGGCGAGTTAATCGTTAGTTAAAGCGGCAAGTCGGTATAAAAGTATGGGAGCTGAAGTGGCTAACCTTGGATCAAGACAAGCCACGTCTTCTAACACTGCATTGCCGCTGCATTGGACAACTCTCAGCCTTGGGGCCGGAGTTTTGTTGGTCTGGGAAAACATGTTTCCCACTTATCTCTCACACATTTGCATGTGAATGAAAACTGAGTCACGGACGCCGACAAATGTTGCATTCAGCTGGTGTTGTTGATTCTCTGTATTTTGTGAAAAGCGCTTAGTTGCCAAACTGTTTTCAAAGTCTCTTCAACTGGGCAACAAATGCACACAGGGCAATTAAATTAAGACGAAAGGCAAACATAAGGCAAGGCAAAAAGTTGATCTTGTCAAAGTTTAAACAAAGTTTTATTTTAGCTGGAAAGTTCAGTACTCTGCCATTGTCAGCATAATATTTTATGCTTTAATTAGCAAAGCATTTCAAACGTGCCAAAAACGTTGACAAACACTTTGCAAAAAAAAAATAATTCTCTTTCGAGAATTTTGGGTCAGCCGAAGGGGACTGACTCATACTTTATCGCCACATCCGTTCAGCAGATCAACGCGAAAAGTAAACAGAAAGAAGAAACGCTTTTTGCACATAAACTTTAAAAACTTTAAGCTCAACGAGGGTTCAAAGACACATATGGGCCAGCCAACCGTTAAAACATAACCGTTAAGCTGTTACTCATGGCCAAGCAATTTCTGTTATTTGCTTATGGGCCGTTCTTTTACAAACCGAACAGATTTGGCCAAAAAAAAAATTTCACATTTTTGATTTGCCTGAAACTTTTTTTACACGTACTATTCGGAAAATAAGTAAACACGTGTATTAGGATTTGACCGAAAAAAAATTATTTTTTTAGTTAGAATTTTTTTTAATGTGCCAAAAATTGTCAAATTTGAAAAAGTACCCTCTCATTGAAAATCTGTATCTCCGGTTATATGAATCCTATTGACTTCATGTCTTTTGCATTAATTCCTCTAAAACCTCTCCTTTCAAAATAAAATTTCTTAAAAAAAAAAATTTTTAATTTCTTAAAAATAAAAACAAATTAAGATTTAAAAAAATTTTTTAACCATTGCCCCCACAAAATAAAAATTTTTTTTTTATTTTAATACTTGCGCCATGTTGTTAGTTACAATCAGTTTTTGTAAAAAGTTGGAGCCACTTTTTGTTTTTAAAATATCGAATTTGTTTTAGCAAGGCCTCGGCTTTTTTCTATGAAAAAACGTCGCAGCATGTAGATTAACTCTCTCACTCTTATCGGATCCTTATGGAATTCATGTTTTCTCATTGCTTACTAGTCCTTTAACAATTGTTAATGATTAAAAGTTAAGTTTTAAGACTTTTGACAATTTCTGAATGACAAAAAGTAAAAAGTCATTTTTTAATCAATTAAAAACTTACAATTATTTATTTAACCGTCTATTTAAAAAACAATCATTTTAAAATTTTTGTATTTATTATTTTTCTGTATTATGTAGTTTATTAAACATTTTTAAATATTTTTTTTAATTTCTTAAAAAAATTTATAAAATTTTAAATCGTTTTATTTTTATTATATACATTTTTTTAAAAAATTAAAAAAAAATATTAAAAAATGTTTAATAAATTACATAATACAGAAAAATAATAAATACAAAAATTTTAAAATTATTGTTTTTTAAATAGACGGTTTAATAAATAATTGTAAGTTTTTAATTGATTAAAAAATGACTTTTTACTTTTTGTCATTCAGAAATTGTCAAAAGTCTTAAAACTTAACTTTTAATCATTAACAATTGTTAAAGGACTAGTAAGCAATGAGAAAACATGAATTCCATAAGGATCCGATAAGAGTGAGAGAGTTAATCTACGTGCTGCGACGTTTTTTCATAGAAAAAAGCCGAGGCCTTGCTAAAACAAATTTGATATTTTAAAAACTAAAAGTGGCTCCAACTTTTTACAAAAACCGATTGTAACTAACAATATGGCGCAAGTATTAAAATAAAAAAAATTTTTTTTTGTGGGGGCAATGGTTAAAAAATTTTTTTAAATCTTAATTTGTTTTTATTTTTAAGAAATTAAAAATTTTTTTTTTTTAAGAAATTTTTTTTTGGAAGGAGAGGTTTTAGAGGAATTAATGCAAAAGAATTGAAGTCAATTGGATTCATATAACCGGAGATACAAATTTTCAATGAGAGGGTACTTTTTCAAATTTGACAATTTTTTGCACACTTAAAAAAATTCTAACTAAAAAAATAATTTTTTTTCGGTCAAATCCTGATACACGTGTTTACTTATTTTCCGAATAGTACGTGTAAAAAAAGTTTCAGGCAAATCAAAAATGTGAGCCAATAAAAGGTGTTCGGTTTGTAAAAGAACCGCCCTTATGCGCAAATAAGTAAAAAAAAAGAAATTGCAAATATAAATAATAACATATTTAGCATACAAATTAGTTTTGCATATTAATTATGCAATTAAACTGTGACGCGCATATTGAACTCTACGGGCAAGAAGAAAAAGTCGAACACAAAACAGAAAAAATGACACATAAAATTTGACCGCGTTAATTGTGTGGGCAATCAAGCGTAAGGTGGGAGAAAAATATAATCATACAGAAAAAAAAATATATTAATACAAATCAGTCATCATTTACGGCTAAGCTAAAAACTGAAAGAAAAGTTTAAACTTTAAATAAATATTTTCCTTTTCCTTATTTTAAAGTTTCTCTTATTATTTGAGTACCACATTCCCTTTTAAATACCCAACAAGTTAAAGTGGCCCAATAACAAGTAACCAAAATAGCTTGGCGCTCCCCTAAGGACATGTCAACACCAATAGAAATCAATAATATATATGTATATAGGTATTCCTTCACAACACAATTGACAACAAGAATAATTAATTGATTTCGCTTGCCAGTAACATAAAATTAATGTCAGTTTCGTTAGCATTTACAAGAGGAGCTTTCCTTTTTTTTGGGGGGCGAAGGCTGCCATTCTCTGATTTCCAGCCATTTGTCAAATTTCGCATTCACCACTTTACCCTCTTTTCCCCTAAGGAAAGCCCATAAATTATGAGGCCAAAACCACAGATCAATTTATTTTGTGGCTCAAGACAGGTTCGCCATGCCTTAACATCCTGTGGAAATGTCAGCCAAAAGGAAAAACAATTAAAACCCACTCGCAGACACTTTTTATGAGCACCGGCGACGTCTAGCCTCTAAATATATATAGCGTTTCAGTTGACTTTATCTACCTTTGGCCCGGGTGCTGATTTCGGTGCTGTTTTTTGATTTGGATAAGCGAAATTTCAGGCTGTCTGCATAATTTCTCTGCGGTTTGATAAATGTCTCGCAAATCGCTGGCGACACTTGGCGGCCTTCCAGCATTTATCCTTAAAAAAAGAAGTAGGCAGCAACAACTTTGAGACAGTTTTTTGCGTATATATTAATAACTGTCATTTGGGTGGGACGCTGTCATTGTCTCGTCCTCCCCAAACACACACAATTTCTTTGATATTTTTTCACTTTACTTATGAAATTCATATGTCTCTTAAGGTTTCCCTTTCTTTATTTTTTTTTGCACATCACTTCTTTCCATAATTTAACGGGGCGTGGATCCTGGATCCTTCGCCTAGGTTTAGGTGTGGTTGCAACTTTTGGCGCGTGTATATGAAAATTATGTTAATTTATACTCCGCTTGGCTGCGTATCCTGCTGTTTCCCTCGTTCTCTAGGTGGTTTGAAGGCGGCTTCCCCGTGGGGCGTCTGCTCGGGTTAACATAATGTTCTAGGGGTGTTCATAGGGATGGCTCGAATTTTGGTTCACTTAGTCGAGGAAGAAATATTACTGATATTTTAGTATTCAATTAATCAGTTTTAAAATATATATTTTATTTTTTCAAATATTTATTTTTGACACTTCAATTTCAAAATGGTTTTTCGTAAATTATTGCAGATTTTAGTAACAAAGTACATAAAGTAAATATAAATCTGTTGCTTTAAAAATAAAAGAACCACATTTTTTGGTGTATTACAAAAGTTATTAAAACTATTAAGTAGTTTTCACTTCCTTTATAATCTTTCTTAGCCACGTCTGTTGCTTGCGTGTTCGTTTTTATGCATTAAATTAGGCAACCTTCGTCTGGTCTGGAATATGTTATTTCTGTCTTCTCCAGTTTGGCAGACGCTGTCATCGTCGCAATTTGTATAAGCTTCTTAAAGGGTTAAGGCCAGAAAGCAAGTTGCACAAGCAGACGGCCGCATATTAATTTTGGCCAGTAACATGTTGCACAACGATGGGGAATTATATAAATTGCTGGCTGCAATTTTGTACTGGTATTGTCGAATTTATGAGAAATAAGGACCGCAATATTAATCACATGTCCAGTGCCAACTTTAACGCTTTCTCTCTCTGTCGGTTCAATCGCATATATAAAATCTGTACTGTATTCCATTGTATAAGAATCTAGAACTTAGCATAAATTTCCAGCTGGAGAAGTGGACAAAGTTTTGCGGTCCGTTTTGCACTTCTGGTCGGGACATTAATTATGATAATATTTCTTGGACTTTAATAAGCATTTGGCATTCTGGGGGCCCCTCAAATATGCTAACAGTTTGCTCTGTCTTGCCAACGCCACTTGACTTCATTGTCGGGTAATTACAATAAGACGCTCATAAGCTCATCGAAAAGTGGAGTGCCAAATGCAAGATGCAAATGGCAGAGGACCAGGGAACCCCATTGTTTCGTTCGCATTAATTAACTGACAGATGGGAATGTCTGCTGGGGAAGTTGTCTTACTTTGTTGTCCTCTGTGGCAGGGCTCAAATAAATCTCTGCCGTTTAAATACCCGAACGTCTATAATTGAGAAAACAAATGTGGAATGTTTGCATTGTAAAGGGAAACTTAAATTGGGGCATAAATAATGCAAATGTTGTGCTGATGACTTGAAAGTGAAAATTTAGCAGCTTCTACCGAAATAATTAAATTCGAAATATATGCAAGTAGTTTATTGATTGATAAGAAATCTCAATTTGCAATGGAATGTAATTTCCTAAGCACAGCTATTAATAAATCATGCATATTAGAATTAATAACATATAACTATGCTTTTATCTAATTCCTGAGTAAATTTGCATATGAAATACTTGACTTTATGTTACTCAATAACTAGGAGTCCCCGAGTTGTTTTTCACTTCTATTCCTACGTAAATAAAGTTCCACAAATGTGGCTGTCTTTCCTTTTGCTGTTGCAAGTTCCAATATTTTTGACAGAAAACTTTACCACAAGTGATCTTTATCCGGAACACACCTACAGTCATCTAAGTTCATATCTAGTTTCTTTGCGGACCCGCAAATATATACACACTACTGGAGATAATCACTTCTGTACTGGGGTGATTTTAACTAATCGCCATGTGCTTACCTCGGCGCATTGCATTACAGAGTGGGTACATCTAAATAATATTATATATTTTATGATCTAATTTCGAAATACTAATTAGTAAGAAGGGTATGATGATGAACCCAAAACGAATTGTGGTCGCCCTTTGCGCGGCTGTCTTCAAAAGTCCAGAGTCCGAGGAATTTCTTGTTGAAATTCAGAATATGGTTATCTATCCGTATTATCATAGAAACAAGCGAGATGATATAGCTGTAATAAAGCTGAAAAGAACCATCAAATTTGATGGCTATCACTTGGCCCAAGCTGTTATAGGGAATTCATCACTGGAAGTGGGCAATGATTGCAAGACCGTTGGTGAAAACTTTGGCATACGAGTGGGTATCTTCTAAATATTCGGCTAATTAAAAGTAGTACCAAAAATATATTCTTAGAGACAAAGATTTGGATCATTTAATAGCATGTTATTCGTCAATGTCGAGCTGCGACCATTTGCGGAGTGTCTGGATATCAAGAAAGGTCAAAAGAAGTCTCAGGTCGACAACGCAGATCTAATTTGTGTGAAGTCCTTGGAACATCTTGTTTGTACCACCGACTTCGGGGGTCCACTCTTTTGCGATGGTCAGCTCTACGGGATCGCCCTGGGCGCCGTTAATTGCTCCAGTCCGGATCCGGTTTTCTTCAGTGACGTGTCTTTCTACACGAGCTGGATGAAGAAAATAATATCTCAGGGAGTAAAGCGGCAACCGCATCATAAATGGATATTTTCCTTGGCTTTTCTCGTGTGCCTTTTTGGGCAACTTTCCCCGAAAGGCAGCAAGTGGATATCAGGTCTCTCAGAAAAGGAAAAAATTACTAGCCTCGCAGCCTGCGATTAATGGAAAATTGAGGAAAGCCCTTGGAAACTTTCGCCTGCAATGCGCCTGTGTGCCACGTGTGGCAAATGTCACGTTCACTTTTCCCCCAGAAAAACCGCATCGACTTTCCATTCAACTTAAACAACAATAATTTCGGCTGTTGCCCAACACTTTTCCACTTCTGCATTAATCAAAGCGAAAAAGAAACTGCCGAAAAAAGCTTAATAAATTTGTACATAAAACATGATTGATAAAGGCCATAAATAATCTCAATAATAAATAGAAAATTGGTCAAGAAAAAAGTAAAAGGCCGCGACACGGCAATTCGATGTAACAGCCAATCATTATTAATAGCCACGAAACGCCGGATAAAAACCAACCCGTAAAGGTAAAAAGAAATTGCACACACACGCGATAATGTTGGCCGAAAAAGAAAAGCCAGAAGTTAACAATAACAAGTTTGGCGCTGAACTCTTGTTGCTTAACTCCCATTGACTTTGAGTTCAAGACTCGCTGTCAGTCGTCGGATGGAAAGCCAGCCATAAATCAGTAATAATTATCTTTTTTGTTGCTCTGCACTTGCTCGAATGCAGGTAGCTGGTATCACAAAAGCTGATAAATCGATGCTGATAAATTGAAAATTACCAGCCAAGCGATATATAATGGCCTGGATGATAAGCTCGCAGATTGCATACACAAATGTACATGTAGCCGAGCGTACAGCATTTGAATTTCCTTTTATAGTGCTGAAATTGCATACCAATTTGTGGTAGACAGCAGCCCAGACATTTGTGCTGGATTTGCCTTTTTCTTTCTCTTTTAAAATCAACAAGATGTTGATTGGGGTAATGGGATTAAATCGAAGTCTTTGATGAATAAAAAACAAATAATAAAAAAATAATAAAAAAATAAAAAAAATTTGTATATTTAATTAAATAATGCTATGAAAATTTAAATAAATTTATTTTTAAATTAGCTACTATAATGTGTTATTTTTTTATTAAATAATTTTTCATCTGGCAATATAAAAACTAATTTTGTTCTTTTGATAAAATTATCCTACTTATTTAATTCCCATTTATATTGATACTTTTAATTTTTATCAAATTTATATTTTAACATTTTTTCCACCGTACCTAGTGCAACTTTACACAACACCCAACTAACACGGTAGTTGAAAAATCAAAGTACCCGAGTACAAAATTCAAGTAAAAATCACGTTCCAACCAAAAGACGCTAACGTGGCCAAAAAGTAGGAAACAATAGCCACAACAGGGGGGCTGGGGTGATGCATCGATATGGACTACCAGACCAAAGTTGATTTTTATTGGGAAGAGTGAGGGCATTAAATTAAATCTATTTGTACAATTTATAGAGGGGAAAAGTGAAGTGAAATGATTTCTATGGCTACACACATGGGGCAACAACAAAAAAAATCACTTAAAGTTGGGGCAACGTTTCCGTTGAGGCAAGACCACTGAACTGGACAAACGTTCCTCTGAAAACTGCAGACACGGCATCAAATAAAACATGGCGAACAACAGAGAAGGAGCTTCCAGTTGGGATCTGTAAATCCAACCCGCAGGACGACGATGGTCCACCGAAAATTTCGCCGGGAAAAAAGCTAAATAAATAAATATCACCAGCAGGGGGAATGGATAAAAAATAGATTTGTGCTGTGAATAAACACATGGATATGGAGCGTATGTCGAGGATAGAGGTGAACGCGTGAGGCAGTACCTCAATAGTAAGCCTTTTATTAATTTTGAAATTTTTTATTTTTCTAATGCAGAAATGTCCCGGTAATCATATTTTTACTACAAAATATTAAAAGTTTCTGATGAAGCTTCAGCTTTTAATTTCCAATAAAATTATTTATCGGTGTTTTGTCACGTGCTCATCTCCAGTCGATGCAACGTCTCGAATGCCGGCGTTTGTTTTCATAGCTGTGAATGTGACATTGTCCAACTTCAACTTCCACGTTTTCCCCTCTTTTTTATTCCACTTTTCGGAACTCGAGCCACAGTTTGTTGCAATCCCCGTTTTTTATTTGTGGGCGAAAGTGTGAAACGATTTTTGCTGACTCTGGACTCTGGAAATCCAAGCTGCAGCAAAACTTCTCGGCGGGATTTCAAGCGGCCCCTTTCAGATCCCTAAGTGGTTTTATAGGGTCCGCAAATTCCAGTGTGAATAAAAAATGAAACAAAAAGACTGGGGGAGTCGCATAAAAATATCAGAAGCAGCAAAAAGGAGTCTGCTGGCAAGGCAAAAAAAGAATTCCCTCACAACTCAATTGTCAAAAGTTAAACGACATCTCATGCGGCGGCAGTCTAAAAGTTTCACATTACATGGCCAGCTGGCTGACCCGATTTTTAAAGTCGAATGCAAATGCTGTTGATTTTCCGCACGTTTCCGGCTGACCAAACAAAACTTCACTCAGCCAGTCGTCAGTCATCCGAAAGCCAAAAGGCGCAACGGAATCGAGCGGAGAAATCAATTCACTTTTGGCCAGCTGCATATCGGGGGTTCCCTCACAGCCTCCCCGCTTTTTCACCTCGTATTCCCATCGGTTTTAAGATTGCAGCTGCTTTCTGTGCCCGCCCCTCATATTTATGCCACAATTTGCCTTTTTGCGGGTTTCATTTACAGAAATTAGTCGGCAATTTTCGAAATCGTTGCAGAAGACGAGAAAAAAAAAATGAAGGAACCAGATATCTATTTAAAGATTTAATGTTGCAATTGAAATTCTAAAAATCAAATTATGTGCTTAGAAAAGTTTTAACCAAAAATTTGTATTATTTTTAATATGGAATTTTAATCACCAGTTTAAATGCCTTTATCGTATTTCCTAGTTATCCACTTAAAGAGTCTCTTAAACTCAACTTAAGACCGAAACACAAACCATAAGCACACAATTTAAGCAAAATTAAATCGAAATCATTTGCAAGACTTCGAATAATCTGGAGTCAAAATTTCATTAGAAATTAGACTTCTCCGACATATTTGCTCCGCCTAACCGACAAAACCGAAGTCAGGCAAGCAAACAAACAAACAAGTCGAAAGCTCCACTTTTGCTCAAACGTTTAGTGCCAACTTAGAAAATTACTCAAATGGCTTAATTGGCAAATAGAAAATGCAAAAAAAAAAGAATGGCAAGCAACTGCAGTTGAGAGAACTTTTTGCAAAAACTTTTTCAACTGCGGCAATGGGAGTGGGAAAACATTTCCACACAAAACCGAAAAAAAACAAACGAATAACTTAATTGAAACTTAATGAGAAAATGCAGCCGCATTGTTTGCCATGGCAAATGAAAAAACAAACTGGGATCTCTGGGTATGCGATGCGTATCTTAAAGATGCAAAAGTGCAGGTGTCTGTCGCTAAATGCAACAGTCATTTGCCTGATTGCCAAGACATTAGGACAGCGTGTCGGATGTTGCATGGAACGTGCCGTTCGTTTCGCTTCTCAGACAAAGAGTCGGGTTATGCGATACCAGATACTAGATACTAGATACTTAAGCGAATTGCACAACAGCACCAGCATAATCGCCTCTTTTGTTTGCATTTATCTTTCAGATGCGCTCACCTGGGCCCAGGTGAATGTGGAACCCAACACAGCACTCCTCAACGAGGGTGATCGCACCGAACTGCTCTGCCGCTACGGCAGATCCATCAACTACTGCCGGATCGAGATTCCTGGAGAGCAGAAGGTCCTCAACCTGTCGCCGGAGTGGAGCAAGACCCCCGGATTCACGTACTTCGGAGCGGGTCTAACGGCCGGCCAGTGCGGCGTCAGCATCGAACGGGTCAAGGCCAGCAACAATGGCCAGGTCAAGTGCAGTCTCGGCGTCGAGGGGGAGGAGCTGTCGGGAACCATCGACCTGGTCGTGGCATGTAAGTACCCAACCATTCAAATTACATCAAATACTAGAATCAAGAAATACGGTAATAAAACTAATACACAGAAAAAAAGTTGACAAAAGATCATCTTGATATGTGCTGGTCTATTTCAAATTTTTTAAAGATCAAGTTATTCATGTAATTTTTATATTAATAAAGATTTTTTTTATCTTAAACATGTTTATATGTTGGAATCATAAGTCATATCGTCTTCTTATTAATATGAAATAAGGTTGAATTGACCCTATTTCATATCGAATTTTTGTCTGTGTATTTATTTACATTTTAAATGTCATCCTGACTAGAAAACACAAAAAAAATTGTAAGCTTTAATGCCGAAAAGCTTTTTAAAGTAGTATACACCCAGAAAACAAAATGGACTAAAAAGGGGCCTAATTACCTAAAATTTTAGGAAATATGGCCAGAAAAACGCGCCAAGGCCATGCATTACCTAAAATGTTGTCCATGTGGACTATATTTTGTACGCAGTCTTGAATTTATTTCTGGTAATGGTTACCTAAAAAAATGGCTAGTGGACTAGATTTTTAGGTCAGAATTACCTAAATATTAGGTATTTAAAAAAAAGCTAGGATTTTTACTATTGATAGTAACATATTTGATTATTTTAATTGCTTATATTGTATTATTCGGAAAAGCAAATATTTTATCTTTCTGAAAAAACAATCACTTTATTTTGTCCTCGGTGGGAATCGATCCCGGGTCTTCTGCGCGAGAGTCCAATAGGCTAGCCTCTGGTCTACGGAACTACTTAAAGGCCCTGCGGCAAAACCAAAGCCTGCTTCAAGGGGCTCAGGCGAATTCTATTTTTAGAATAGGGCACTATTACCTTAAAAGTAGGAAAATAGTCCACGTAGGTATTAGAGCCCTGCATGAATCATTCAATTTTTGTTTTATCATGGTATGCCATGAAATTTCTGATTTGTTTAATTCAATTCTATGTGAAATAAATTGAATGTTGTTCTAATTCATTTCGAATTGAATGAATTGAATGAATTATTTTATGAATTTTTTGAATTTTCCAGATTTTTTTTGTGTTTTCTTTTGAGAACAAAAAGTGGAAAATTTTTAACAAATCAATGTTAACTGCATAGTAAATAAAATTCAGGCAGATTTAATCACAAAATTATGGCCCTTTCTTCTTCAAAATAAATTGTCGTTTGAATTATTTCGGAATTCATGCCATTCATTCATTCAATTCTATTAAACTCAAAATTCAAATTCATTCAATTCTATTAAACTCAAAAATTCTAATTAATTCATTCATATAACAAAAAAAAATTCAAAATAATTCATTGGATCCATTCATGCAGGGCTCTAGTAGGTATTGATTTTATATATTGAAACTTTTCCATCACTAGCTTTAAGAAAAGTCTAAAAAATTTTTTAACATTAAACTTAAAAAACCGAATAATTTGTTTATTAATATTAGGGACCAATATTTGTATTAAGTTGTGAGTGATAATCGACTTTAAATTATTCCTAAATTTTAGGTCTTATGGACCAATTTGAAGGTTACGATGGCCTATAAAAATCTCTTTAGCTTTACCTAAAAAGTAGGAACATAGTCCACATGCTAATATTTTTAGGTAACCCATTACCTAAATCTGAAATTTTGGTCTATTTAAATTTTTTAGGTCATACGTTACCTAAAAAATAGTCCCACATTTCTCTGGGTATACTTTAAATTTCTAGTTAATTCGAAATTGTATTATTAATACTTTTAAATATAAAAATATTAAATATTATTGTCTACATTTTTTTCTCATTAATAATTGACAGAGAAGTGTTTTAAAATGTACACTCAGAAAAAAAATCGCCCTAAATTTTAGAAAATCGCCATACTTTGAAATATTTTTCTAAATAATAAGAAAAACTTACCCTGATTAGATCAACTCCTCTTGTTATCCACTTTTAGAAAAATTTTCTGTTATTCAGAAATTTTTCTTTTAAACTAAGAAAAAATCGCTTTACATTGGCCCAATAGGTAGCCTAGGGGTCTAATGCGAGCGGATTATTTGTTTTCTACGCTTATATTCGGAAGCGTGTGTTCGATCCCACGTCGAGGCGGACATTTTTTGCGTCTTTCTTTTTTTTTTTGCGCATTAATATGATTACTTTAATACAAATAAGGATTTAGGTAAGCTAACATACACATAATGGATAAATAAGATTATAAACCTAAAACCCAAGAGAACAGAATGAGAATGTACTTTGTACAGCGCATCTCGTGATGCTTCCCTGGCGCAGCTAGTAGAGTGTTTGACTGCAAACTGTGAGGTAAGGGGTTCGATTCCCCCTAGCGACCAAAATGTTTTTCTCAAGATAGTAAGTTATTTGATTTTTATGTTTATCATTAATAAATAATATAATAATTTCAGTTACTATTTCAGTTACAATTTAAGATAAAAGGTGTGTTTGTGTACAAGCATCGTGACGTCATCCAAGTGTTTAAATAGAGGAGAGAATAATAAGTTGAGAAACGAGAGCCCCAACAACAACACCCCACATCGGCATAACTCCCGATTCCCCGATTTTTTTTTTCTTTTTCTTATTCAATTTTGCAAAAACTAACCCTAAATTTAAGAAATTTTTTTTCTAATTTTTAGAAATATTTTTTCTAAAAGGCAAGGCGAGCTGCCTTTGGTTTAAAAAGTATGGCGATTCAGGGCGATTTTTTTTCTGAGTGTATAAACGCCGGTTTCTAAATCTAACCTTACTAGGCACTTAATTTTCTAAATTAATCATTCTTTTTTTTATCAATTTTTTTAGTGCGCCCCCAGCAGCCTATCATCGAATTGCTGTCCCGACCAAATCGCGAGGGCTACTTCAGCGAGGGAACTGAATTCAAGGCTCGCTGCAGCGTTCGCGATGGTCGTCCGCCGGCGAATATCTCTTGGTACATCGACAACATGCCGGCCAACAAGCGCACCAGTCCCCTGGAGGTCATGTCCTCGACCAACGACAATGTGGAGCTATCGACCTCGATTCAGGAAATCCAATGGCACCTGTCGCCCGAGGATGGCAACCGGAAACTGGTCTGCCGCTCGCACCACCAAACCGATCGCGAAAGTGTCCCCCCGCAGGAAGCTGCCTACATCATCAACGTGCGATGTAAGTAATTACACTCTCGTTTAGGGAAGTTCTAAATTTAATCATTTAAAATTGTAATTCTGCCTAAGCCATATATAATATAATATATTATATTAATATAATATATAATATATTTAAATATGTAAAATAATTTAATCTTAGCATTGCTATTTAATTTTAGTCAATTTGTATAATTTTTGAAATATTGCACTTAATAATGGACTTAAAAATATGCCTCTTATATACATATGAACATTTCAAATATATGCGACTTTTCATTTAAAACTTTTTTTATAAATAAATAAAATGTATTATTTAGCAGTCTAAAATATGTAACATAAGTATATAAAAATTTTATGTTTAACAAATATCTTTAATACTTTCTTTCCTCTCAGATGCCCCCGTCCACCAGCCAGATGCCGCTGTTTACGGACTTTACCTCGAACACACTGCTATTGTGAACATCACCATCCGTGCCAGTCCGCAGCCCAAGATCGAATGGACCATCGATGGAGCGATTGTGGGACAGGGCCGTACCGATGGACGCTACTCGGCCTATGAGCCCCAGTATCTGGGCAACGACGAGTACAACGTGACTTTGGCCATCGCCGGTCTGACTCTGGAAGATACCACGAAAATCTACAATTTGAGGGCCAGCAATGAACTGGGATCGACGGACTACCAGGTGCGAATCAGTTCGTCAAGCAAACCGCCCAGTAGCAGCCTGGATGTGGCCGCAATTGTTGGCATTGTGGTAGCCGTTGCCGTTTTGGTCCTGGTCGTTTTACTGATTGTGTTTGCACGAGCCACTGGCCGATGGTGTTTTGGCGGTAAGTTGAAAATGATTTTTTTCTTTTTGATTTTCCATACACACATTTTTGCTTATTTTGTGGGTGAAACATCGTCATTAGCCTCTCAGCCACATCAACAACAACAACATCATCATCATAATGATCATCCACTGCCACTATTGTCTCATCATCAGCTATGCTAACAATAAATTCTGGCTTTAGGTTCTCCACCCACCCAAACCACGCAACTTCAGCACCCATTTTCCCCCAAACTCCACCACTCATCCTGCAATTCATATGCATACATACATATATGTTCTAGGGTTTTTGGGCGGAGGTCTGTGGGGCCTGGTTCCTCTGCCACAAGCCGTTGTTAACTTTCGACACATTGTGCGGCTTTTAAATTTTAATTAGCGTTAACCTAGCAGAAGGAGCAACTGAACGGGCGGATGAACGCAGCAGCCCTAGAAAACTCATCTAATTAAAAAAAAAATTCACTTGGCTTTGCCGGTTGACTTTCTGTGGAAAAATTTTCTTGAAAAAGAATGTGGGTATAGTCGAAAAATTGAAATGTGGAACATGCGAAAGAGAAAATGAAAGAATAACTAGAACTTTTTTAAAAGATACAAATATGGGAGTGTGAAGTTTAAAGAAAGAAAATGTTAGCACAAGCATAAAGCTAAGGAAAAATTTGAATTTTAATGAATTTTTAAAATAAAAAGAACCTTACAAATAATTGTTTTTTTACTGTGGACAAACAATTATTTACTTAAAATGTTAAAGCTTGCAACCATTAACTTAATAATATAAAATTGTTCAATTTACAATGTAGAAAGCACCTTTTAAAACACAATTCAGGAACATCGAAATTGGTTTTACAAAAATGGTGTGCTAAAAAATAAAAAAAAAAACCAAAATAATTAAACCTGCATAAAAAATAATACAAAATACCAAGCCAACTAAATTAAATACCTTTATTAGATACATAAGATTAACAATACAATTGTAAAACTCTCTCGGTAAAATTGTCTACAAATGACAACAACAAGAAGAGCTAACATGAAAAACAAAAATTGGTCATTAAAAATTCGGGAGGAAAAAATTCCAAAATGTTTTTGAAAACGTGTTATTTGCTTTCAATGTAAAATATTAAAAAAATAAAATTTGTATTTTTCTGTTTTTCTATGCTTCCTGTACTTTCTGCTTGATAAGCTTTTTGGTAAATGGACTAACCTCAACTTTAATACGGAATTTTGGTATCTTCGAGATCGAAATCTTTTCTCTCTGCCTCCTCTTCTATCTTTCTCCCTCTCTCTGCACACAAAGCTAAATGTTAGTTCTTGTTGTTGTCGTTTTTACAGGCGCCACTCTAAACACAGACATCGGTCCCGATTCCGAGGCCCAGATCCATCCGGAATTCAATGACGACGAGGAGCTGGATGGTCGCGATAATGGCGATGAGCATATCGATACCACCCAGCAGTCGGAGGAGGCCACGCCCCCCGTAACCGATAAATTGGAGGCGCAAAAGAAGGCGGATCTGAAGAAGAGTGCGGCGGCCACAGCGGCAGCGGTTATAGCCGCTGGAAATGGCAGCCAGCACAGTTTAAATGGCCTCGAGGCTCCCAAGCCGCCAAATACTTCCGTCTAAGCCCCCTTTGCCACAACTCCCAGTAAATGGGCGTGGCTCTTGGCCAGTTAGCTGTGTGCCCCGTTTGCTAAAAGCAGAAGGGAAAAGAAACAAAAATATCGAATAATATATACATCTCCTTACCACCCTTTTGCTCTCAAATATTTGCTCTCTCATAAAAGTAATTGAATGAAAAAAATCTCAAAAAGCGCACAACAAAAAAAAAGGATATATATTTTTACTGTACACAAAACAAAAGCAACACTTTACCTTAGGCCAAGTAATTTTAAGTGACCAATTTTCGTAAATCGCGAGTCTCGCCACCCTTAAATCTCCTTTTATCCGCTATAATTCATCGAAAATAAAACACAAATATATGTATAAAAATTACAAATCAAATAAAAAATCAACAACAATGCCCAATTTATTGTAATATATTTTGTCCAGCAATATTGATTTTCATCCATGTATTTATTTAAGCTATAAGAGCTGCCAGCATTTTGCATTTTCTAATTATTATTTTGTGTCGATTGGCGAATCAATCAATTCAAACTTGGCAAGCATAACAAATTAGAAAATTAAACATGCCTATGATTTATTTTAATTAGTTATCCGCTTCACACTTATGTTTTTTTCTGTTCTTTTGTAATTTTAGTAAAACGAAACAAAATAAACAAAAACATAAAAATATAAATTTGTAAATTTACAATGAGGTTGTGTTTGATGTGGCAGAAAGAAAGCTGATGATGGTGTTGTTAGGAGGGGTACCCTAGATCTTACATCATTAATCATGAAAATCATTTATAATTCAGTATGCAAATTATTCCAAGGTGTAAATATGTTTAAATTGATTTTTTCATTTTCTCCACACAGGAAAATCAATCAAGACGCCCACAAACGAAACGTAAGTACAGTGAACTCTCTCCTATAAACCTAACAAATGTCAAAATAAGTTCAGAAAAGTGCAAAAACAAACGGGGCCAGGCCATATATAAATTGTTTCCATGGATCCACAACTAACCCATCGACGGTATCTGGTTTGCTTTGATTTGTTTAATTTTCCAAGCCATTAATATATTATCCATTAATTTACTATTGCGTAGTTCGGATGTGTGTTTGTTTGTCTACTTGCATGTGTCTCTTGAGTGGCTTTAATTTTCGTACTTACATTAACCGTATGTCAAAAAGCAATCATCTCTCGATATAGAAGCAGCTCATTGTCATCCTAGGTTAGTTCATAGTTCATTTATAGCCAAAAAACGTTATCTTAAGCACACGCATACAACAAAACACACCAAACATTGCTAAAGTCTCGTGTTTCGTCTTGTATTTGAAAAGTCCTTTAAACTGAAATTCTAAATTTTAATTCCATAAAAGTAAAATCAGTTTATAATAGTTGTCACACTGTCACACACACACACACTATACACATACATTCTCTACACCTCTGAACTTTCACATTAAAACGCTCGCTAGTCGCTCTGCCACGCCCACCTTGCTCGCTCGCCCGCCCACCACAAACAAAAAGTAAGAAGTGTCTGTCTCGCTATGTCTATCTCTTACCCTGTGAACATCATAAAGCTCTCTTGCTCTGTCTCACGCATTTACTAAAAATGTCGCTGTCCCAGTCAAAAACCACAAAAACCATAAGCATACAAATGCATAGAACAAAAAAAAACAACTCTATAGTGTTAGAGGCACTTTGCTAATGCATCACAAAAATAATATAATTATAAAAAAAAACCAACCTCAACCACAAAAAGAAACGAAAACAAACTTCTTGCTATGTTTTGTCTTCTTCTTCTACTACTTTCATATGGACAACCGACCAACAACAACAAACCAACGAAAACAACTAAATAAAATATGTGACAAATCTCTCAACTGTAACGAAAACTTAAAATCAAATTCAACATGATATATCTACATCAAAATGTTAAATCAAAAAATTAATTCCTATTTTAAAAAACCAAAATATTTGAAAATATTTGAAAATATTTGAAAATATTTTGAAAAAAATCGTAAACAGTCAGATCGACAAGCAACTGGAATTGGGAACTCAGCAAAACCATGGACAAAATGTTGCTCTTTTGGAGACCCCTAATGGCATAACTTTGTTGGGCGCCAGTAAATTGCGAGAGGCCAATGGAAATGGTCAGGATCGTCTGTCGGTTGAAAGACGCCATCACGATGAAGATGATAGTTTTGAATATGGCACGGATCGTGAGAGCAGTGTCTATAATCCCACCACAAGACCCCTGAAGAGTATTCTGATGAGTCAGGCGGCAGGTCGTAATTCCCGAAGCTCTGCAAGTGATAAGGAAGATGGCAGCGAGAATGCTGATTTACTGCAAAAGGGAAATCAACTGGGAATTCCCGAATCGCGATTCTCGCGATGGCTGCCCAAGGATCAACGCGAGCTGATCGAAAAGCAGGCGATGTTACTTTCGGGAAGGGGCAAGTCCAAGGCACCAGCCACACCGCCGAAACCCCAGAGACCCCAAATCGGAGAGGCAAATACCACGAATGCTATTACTAGGAATACGACGCCAACAACACCGACGACGCCAAAGTTGCCACAGGAAACGGAAATCTGAGAGCGTGCACGAGTGTGTGTGCGCGTGTGGCATTCATATTTATTTATTTCTTCTTTTTGGGTACAGGAAACGCGCAGCAGGATTAGGGATGGAGCAGTTTTGTGGCAATCGAGAACTTTTAGGGGGCCCTTCCATTAGTGTCAAGAACTTTAGTTGATGGGTTAACTCAGTTAACTCCATCTTAAAATTAAATACTATTTGAGTGCCTTTCTCATAAGAAAACAGATAAAAATGTAAAATAAAAGTATTAATATACTTAAAGTTCACAAGTTCAAGTTCAAGTATAATGTGAAAATGTTTCCTTTGTCATCTGGAACTAAAAATATTTTTATACATATTTGTTAGTGACTTGCATTCCTGAGTTTTGAGTTTTTTTTTTTGGCGCGAGTAACAATTCTAAACAAAACAATAACGTTTAATTTATATATTGAGGGCTATAAATTCAACTTGCATTTAAAAAAAAAAATTTTAACTCTGAAAGGATGATAAATAACCAGTTATTTCTTAAAAAATAGGGGTCCCCTATAAAATAACATCGTTACAAAGCTGACTCCAAATGAGGATCACGAAAGATTTTTCTTCTACACAACAAAAACAAACGAAACGTAAAAACCTACAAATAAAGCAAGAAAAACTGATTCATTTCATACAACTTAAAGCTAGCATGAAATTAAGTTATTATCGAATACATAACTATAATCGAAGAAGTTTGCATGAAAAGCATGTAGCAAAGAATCATTGATCTACACAAATATTTATTGTAGTCACTGTAGAACAAAGTCATCAAGTGAGATATACGCGCAACAACAAAGTGTTCAACTTAAGCCGCGCCAACTGTACTTTAAGACCGAAGAGAAACTTCCTTTTATTTTCGATTATTATTACGTTCGAGCTGGCTTAAGTAGAAGACAACCTAAAGTTAAAAATTAAAATAGTATATAGTAATTAAACACGAACGCGATAAAATGTAGTTAGGATCTTTTGATACCCTTTATAATTTTTTACAGAACGTATGTTTAATATTTAATTAACAACAATAAACATTGTTAAAACTGCAATGAGTTTCCTTTTTGGATTTATTTATTTTGTGAATGCTTGAATATGTGTGCGAGTGTGAACGGCCATTTTTGAATAGAATGGAAAACTGAAAGGAAATTTCAACAATACAGTCTATCAAAGAGGAAATTCCCCGTACAATTTTCCATTTTCCATAACAAAAGCAATATCATTAAAATACGAAAGGAACGTTTCATGCAATAAACATTTCATATATATGAGAGACTAACACGCCACGCCAGAAACTAATACAAATACAAGCACGAACACATAGACACGGCACACATTGTTGGCAAAATGTATCCAGCAGATACTTGTTGAGCTGGCCCAGACAGCAGGCAGACATTCAAATGAGCCAAAAATATTTATAGAATATAGATGAAACTCATTTCAGCCAAGCGAAAGCAATTTACTTGGTCAGCCCACGTCAAACGAAGGTTAAATTGGGGGTGGAATTGGGTTAAGGGTCTATGAAAGGTCAAATGCGAATTAAATATTCCATATGGCATTCATTTCAGATATTTCGAGAGCCGCAGAGCATAGGAATTTAATTAAAAGCTTTTCCTGAAAACCATTTTTTTTAACTTCTAGGTTGCCTATGAAAAAAAAGGACATTAATTTGGTTTACTTACAAAAATAATTGTAGTTCCTCTAGGAATTTCTAACTAAGAATTTTTTTTATTCTTTTAAATTTCTTTTAAATATACAAACATTTTTTTTTAAATGAAGTGTAAAAATACAAACATTTAAAAAAACTGACGGTTTAAAATTAAAAGAAAAAAATAAAATTCTTATTAGAAATTCCTAGAGGAACTACAATTAAACTTAAGTCGCAATAGATAAAATTGTTTTCAAAATGCAGGCATTAGAGAATATTTGCTTTTCCTAACACAATTTGGGTTTTAATGGTGCCACACACGAACAACAATAACAGTTACCAAAACACAAGTTCTAAAGCTCACTAACAACCGTTAGACAGGACACTTTAAATAGAGCAAAAAGCTACCACGAAAAGACTTCTAACCACACGACTAACCCCGAACACTATTATGGCCATCCTTTGTTACCTTATTTTTTCGGGAAGAAAATTCGCACAGCAGCAATTATTTTGACACAGTAATAAGTAGAAAAAGAAAACAGCAAAAACTTTCATACAAAAATCAAAATCATAAACCCATCCAAAAACCTCCCAACAATTTCACAACCGACAAGCAGCAGCGACACCGAAAGCGCCGATATAAAAGCCACTTCAACGGCCACGGCCACAACGACGATGGGCGGAGTGGGCGTGTTGGCCGAGGAGGAGGAAACCGTTAACGAACAGGAGAACCCGCAACAACAACAACTACAGCAGCAGCAGCAAAAGAAGGCCAAGAGATTGCCGGCTTTCGCAGTGGCAATTTTAAAGCGTTTCAACGAAAAGGATTCAAGGAAGTACAAGGATAACCAGGAGTCACTGAATATTGTCGAGGGAAGCGAACAGGAGAGCCCAGCACCCAATAATGCCATCGATGGCAATGACAATGAACCAAAGGTATAGAAAAATGTCCCAGATTCCTTCCTTTTCTTTCTCTTTCCATCTTCTCAGTTTTTGCGGAGGCACACAGAAAAAATATCACTAAAACCTTTCAGACAATCGATATATTTTCACTTCAAAACATTATTATTATTATTCTTAAGAAAAGGCAGAAGTTTGAAACATTACAAAAAAGCATTTAAAAAAAATAATTTTATCATCTCAAAATAATATAGATATGATCTTAGACATTTTTGGTTTTCTTTTGACCGTAGTGCAATTGCTACAGCGATAAATAAAAAAGGGTTAACCTTTTGAGGACATATTTACTTGAGTACTTCAGCCACAGTTTTATACTGAATTTATTGCCAAATTGTTAATTTTCAATTATATGGGCAATCTTCCTGAGTGTACATATTTTTCTGTCTGAATTTTTAATAACATGTTTCCTTAATAATTTTTTTAATATTTTGAGGTGTCATAACAAAAGATCTTGAAATTAGACAACGCTTATTTTGAAGAATGTGCGAGAACACAAGTTTTTGTAGGACACTTTCCAATAATATCAATAAAAAAAGCAACTTTTTGAGATGGTAATATAACCTGTGTGCGTGTGTTTGAGTGCGAACTGTATTTACCTTTAAGCTTAGCATAGTTACTTTATAGTTAGACGCAAGCTTACAGCATACGATCAAACCTTTTTATTTTTTTAATTTCCCTTTTGCTATTATCACAAATTTTTCTACATAATTTTCTTTGCCATTTTCTGCTCTTTCCGTTAAAAAAAATACCGCATGCAAATAAAAATCCGTTGTTGTATAACTTTTGTATATATACGCAAATAAAGGCAATAGTTTGGCAGAGCACCTCACCAGTGTGGACGTTTAAGTAAAGAAAAGCTTAAAGCAAATGAAAAAGGTATTGAAAACTCCCCTAAAAAAGACTAAACATTGATTTTTTCTCTATCAATTATTTACTTGATTTGAAGAAATGCCTACTAATATATTATTAATCTTTTTCCAAAAAAACATAGCAAGACAAACAACTCGTCTATGCTGAACTTGTACTAAAACCAGCCAATGAGACTACAACAACAGCAACACCAGCACCAACAAAAACAACAGCAGCAACAACAACAACAGCCACAACACCTGAAGGTTCTGGAGTTGGGATTAAAAGTTCAACGGAATACGCCGAAATAGTCTATGTGCAAAAGGGAGGCGAAGGCAAAAAATAATCTAGCCCATCAAATTAAAACCCTGGGAGGCTGCCACAAATAAAACATAAAAATGAATGCACAAAATTAAGAAGCCGCAACGTAAGCAAAACCCCAGTGCAGCATAAACATAAACTTTACAATGATATTAAGAATGCAAAAATAAAATAAAATGTCTTAAGTGGTTTTTCAAAAACTTCTTGAATGTGTGTACTAAAATCTAAAGAAATGTGAAACTAAGAACATAAAAGCGAAAACATAAACTTTTACAAAATAAACTTAATTCTCCGCACAGAAATCTTGACACAAGACACGCCCCTCAATATGTAACCCTCCTCCCCCAGTCCACACATTAAATCAAATTTACAACAAGATAAAAAAGAAAGAGAACCTTAAAAAAGCTAAAAGAATATTTGCAAAACAAAACTATATATAAATAAAATTTACATAAACATAGGCAAGAGAAAAAAAACCATTTGAAAATCTCAATTATTTACATAAATGTCTCGCATTTAAGCTAAATGTAAATTTAAGACAAGAAACAACAAAAAAATATAAAAATTATGCAAAATTGAAGTAAACTTATTTAGATGAACCTTAAATTATTTTTACGCAAGCATTTTTGTACACATCGCCGTTTTGAATATGCAAAATTAGGGACTTTAACAATTTAGGCAGCCAGAGAAAAGCATTTAAACAACTTAATGGAAAAATTAAATAGGGACAATTCACCGAAAATCTATGGCAACTGAAAGTATTCTATCATAATTAACTTTGTTTTTCTTGTTTCTTAACGATATCCTTCCATTTTCCATACAACTGGCAATTAATGTTATTATTTAAAACTATTTACACAATTACGAATTAACTGATAATTGACTAAGTTAAGTGCATAAATTAATTACAATGTACTTTCATGATGATGATTGATTTTTATATTTTGTAAGTTATAATTTGTATAAAGTTAAGCTGAACAAGAAACTTTTTTGAATAAAATTCTTTACCATATAATTAGTGGGTGTATTGTTTAATTTAATAAACATTTAAATTTGCAATCAGCAAATAATATTAGTAAAAGGTAATTTTTAGTCGTCTTTCGTTTTGAATTTTATCGAATGCCTAATTAACAGCAACAGAACATCCTGCCGCTAGCAAAAGTCAAAGGGCTGAGTTAACATTCAGCTTGTTAAATGAAATGTCAAATTTACGACAAGTAAATTGAAATTGCAGTTGGGGCTGCCGGCAGAATTTCTCTTCGGCATCCTTGTTTAGCTTTTCAAGCACCAAAAAGCTCAAGACGACAACGTCAATTACACTAAATAATAGCACACTTCTGATCCGATCTGCAACAGCAAGAACGATAATCATGTCGCATTATTCATAGCCGCATTGCCATTTATATATTTTAGCTAATACCGAAAAAAAGGAGAAATAATAATAATAAAATATGGCAAAGTTTTGCAGTTGACTTGGCTTTGTCTGCTGGCAGATTTCGGTATCTGGCTGTGGCTGGTTGTCAGTCAGTCAGTCAGTCAACTGCTCGGTACTGCGGCTCCCTCAACTTTTTCTGACATTTCAATTTATAAAGCTCAAAATCTGCGCGTTACCCGAAGCGTCCCATTTTACATTAGACAAAAACAGAGCGAATCTCGTATATTTTATTTTCGCCAGTTCTAGGGGGCTGATTTTTTTTTGCAGAGTCCACCGCGACAGCTTAAAAGTAAAATACAATTTCGCATTTTTTTTCCTTTGTTCCATGCCGAAGGCAGTACATTGAAATTGACTTCAGGGGGAGCGAATAAAATGAAACTTTCAAGGCTAGTACAATGCACTCTGCAAACGGCAGATGAGGCACTATTTTATACATTTAGGTTGGAAGAAAAAATAAAATGAATGAAGACAAGCGTAAGTATTAACTTATAAAAATCGTTTCAACCTTTGGCACAAGACATTATTTGATTTAGCAACATTTCATTGGGGCGTAGGTAAGCATAAATATCGGATATGACCCCAGGCTACCATAATATTAAAGCAGATAATAATATAAATAAATGTGCATACAAAGTTATACAATTTCTGCTACCAACCCAAAAATTTTTTTTAAATTTGTGGCAAGCTAATACCCTTTTAAAATATATTATTGCTTAGCTTGCTTGTTTATCAATTTGGTCGATTAGTTTCCATTAAGTTTTTAATAACACCAGCATACAAAATAAAATCGTTAAAATGCTACGACGGCCTTGGTTTTCTGGTAAAGGTGAGCATCCTGA